GGGTGGTGACGGGCAGGGCAGATCCCTAGCACAGTGCTGGCCAGGGCTGTGGCCCCGCTCCTGGGGGACACACCAGGCGCGGGGCTGGCAGTGGCCATTTGGCTGTCCCCAGGGCAAATGGGGACCACTGCTCCACACTCTTGGAGATCTCACACGTTGCTGGAGACAGGGAGCGGCTGGGGTGCCACCCCAGCTGCCTCCCAGCAGTGCCCAGTGCCAGGGAAGTGCATTCCCAGCTCTTCTTTCATGGCTCAGACCGCAAGGACTCGCCGCAGTGCCAGCACCCTCCCGCATCTGATGTGCTGGGGGGGCACCGATCCACCAGCCCACGGCTCAGGGTGCCCACACCCCCAAACAGGAGGATGGCACCACCGCTCCTCTCAGACCCTGCAGAGTGGCTGCCCTGATGCCTGCTGGCTTGCACAGCCACGGGAGCGCCCCGTGTGTCCCCCCAGCACGCTCCCAGCTCCCCTGCACCCCTCGGCCCGCAGAGAACCAGTGAGGGGGGGACACAGCCCCTGTCACCCATCTGCCTGCACACTCCAGACTCCTGGCAGCACCCAGCCCAGCACGGCTGCTTTGCAGGGTCACGGTGCCAGGTGCCCACCTGCCCCTGGTGATGCAGGCGAAGGGGGTGAAGATGGGGATGGTTTCGGGAAGCCAGTGTGGAGAGAGAGGCACCAAGGCTGGAGGAGCGGGGAGAGACGCTGGCCTGGGACAGAGATGGGCTTGGTGCTGGCAGTGGGTCTGTTCTCTGCACCCTGCCACGCATCTGTGCCAGGAGGCACCGTGCAAGGGAGCTGCCGGCAGTCCCCCAGGCCCACAACCACACGGAGATTTTGGAGCTAAACAGGTCTCCCCCAGTGCCAGCCCTTCCAGGCTCCCAGCATGGCCCAAGCATAGCCAGCCCTGCCCCAGCTGCGGAGCGATGCCTTCCCTGCACCGGCAGCGGAGAAGAGACAACTCCTCCCAGCGCAGGGAAGATCCCGTGAGCGAGGACACACGGACACGGCTGTTCGGTTCTCCCCGGTGCGATGCCCCGAGCCCGGTCGCACACAGCCCCCCTCGCCCGGCTCCGAGTTGTGCTCTCGAGGGGAGAAGGACGGGAGCCAGGGGCTGGAGAAACCCA